GCCCCCCCCTTTCTCCCCTCCACCCCCCAGGCCTTCACCGAGCTGCAGGCCAAGGTGATAGACACCCAGCAGAAGGTGAAGCTGGCCGACATCCAGATCGAGCAGCTCAGCAAGACGAAGAAGCACGCCCACCTTACCGACACCGAGGTCATGACGCTGGTGGACGAGACCCGCATGTACGAGGGTGTGGGGAGGATGTGAGTACCTGCCCGGCCTGTGAGGGGCCTGTGAGTGAGGGGCCTGGCTGAGCCCAGAGCGGCTGCCGCCTCCCTGCGGGGGTGTCCTCGGCTGCTGCAGCGAGGGGGTGGTGGCTGGGGCCCTCTGTGCAGGAAGACCCCCCCCAGCCTCCCCGTGTAAGAGGCCTCTAAGCTGCTGCCCTGGATAGGAGGTTAGTCTCTTTACAAAGAACGTTCTTGTCTCTCAGTCTGTCAATTTGTTTCATTTTTCTCATTGTATTTAGCTTTTTAATTTCAGCCATCTGCCTGGGAATGCAGTGAGACTTACTGGCTTGTATCTCTTGGGGCTTGCTACTGGCTGCCTCGAGATGGACCTCTGAGAAGTGGTGATGTAGACCACAAGAGCAGCATTCTGATGGCAAACAGCTTTTGTGCTGTCACAAATCTCTCCAGCTTCAGTCATTTCCAGTGTAGTTCACATCAAACTTCTTGAAAAACCCCTGTGCAAAACTCAAGTGTTTAGGGTTTTGCCTGCAAGTTTTCTACAGATGTCCCTTTTGTGTTACCGTGAGAGGGAATGAAACAAACAGGTGTTGCCTGTTTTTTTTTAAATCCTTGGAAACACCTTAAACCAGAAGTAACATGTTTAGATTAACTTTTACAAGGCACTTCTGTTTCACTGCAGCACCCTCTGATACAAGACCATACAAAGAGGATTCAAATCTGAAATGTGTTTGCTCATGAAATATCACGCTAGATTTCTGTGTTTCTGATTTGAGGGTACTCTGATTTTTCTCTTGTGTCCCTTGTGGGTTGGGTAACAGTGATGACTCTGCTCAGCTTAGGATGTACTGCTGCGAGAAGAGGTTATATCAGCCTCTTTCTCCACCCTGTGTTTGCCCCACCTTTTTCATGTCCAAGTGGATGATCACAGGGCTGAGTGGTGAGCCAGGTCAGACTACGAGTGCCCTGATCCATCAGACCACACAGTCTCCAGATCAAGTTGCAGGGAGGTGGCAGGACTGGGAAGCCAGGACTGGTGTGTAGTTTGCCCATAGCTGTGAGTTTTCAGATTAAATTGTACCCAGGCTAATGGAGGTGTCCAGCTTGACAGAGTTTCTTTCTTGGCTCCCAGTAAATAAACTTTTTTTTATGTAGGTGAATTAAATATTGGGTTTGTGTGGGGATCCTAGTGACTGGTACCTTAAAGGAGACATTTTCAACCTTTGCAAAAAAGGTGACTGATTTGATCCAGGCAGGCTGTAGGTGGGGTAAACACTCATGTTTGGAGTAGTCATGAGGCGACTCAGAAGGGGTTTTTCTGTTTGGTTTTGCCACAGAGCAGACAGATGAGGAGTAGAAGATAATTCTGGAGTCAACAATTTTTTTTTTTTTAAGCTTTTCTTACAATCCAAAATACAGAATTCTTCTCCTACATGGAGAATTCCCTCAAGATACTTTAAAATGTGAGTGTATTGGTTTTTATCAAAAAGTAACCCTGCCTGTGAATCAAATGTGGGTAGCAGATGGTGTTTTGCTGCTGGCCAAAAATGCATTGTCCTGCTTTCTGCTTCTGCCTCACACTGAGGAGGAACAGATGCTTACCTTCTTTGTGTCTTAAACCATTTACACTTTCTCTGTGTAGCAGCTGCAGGAGCAAAAGTCTCCTGGGAAGTCTTATTTTCCTTACCTTTCCATGACCAGACAGGGTGGCTTAAGCATGGCAGGCAGCTCCTGCTTCTCAGGGATGGCAGAGGAAGCATCAGAAAAATATCTGCATTATGATAGTATTTGAAAGCTGAACTCTTCATGGGCTTTGTTGTACAAGTTACTATGCAAATGCAGATTAAGAGGGTGCTGTTCTGAATTCTGCGCATTTATTTATTTATTTATTTTCTCCTGCCTTAGCTTGGTGCAGTATTTCTGAGAGCTCTGCCTGTTCTGGCCATGGAGCTGAAGGCTGCCTTGCCAACTGGCAGTAAATGCTCTGGTGTGATCTCTGTCACTATACCCAGTGTGGAGAACATACATAAAGGACACAAGGCTCATCCTGAAGCACGCTTCAACCCCTAGCTAAGAATTTATTGCTGAAATCCAGACTTTTAGCAAAGCAGGCTAAAGCAGCCCTTGAGCAGCAGTTATAATCCAGGGGCAGTCTAGCATCTTGTGTTCCACTGGAGACCAAAGGAGGTGGTCATAATGGTTCTTCTGTACAGAAAATCCATGTTCGGTGAAGTGGGATTGCAGATATTTTGATTTGTTGTCTTGTACATGTGTGGGAGTTCAGCCTCCAAAGGGATATTTCCTAGAATCATTGGTTGGTTTGGGTTGGAAGAGACCATCTGCCTTGGGCAGGGACACCTTCTACTAGACCAGGTTGTTCAAAGCTCTACCCAACCTGGTCTTGCTCAGTTCCAAGGAGGCAACGTCCACAACTGCTCTCGGTAGCCTGGGCCAGGGTCTCACCACCCTCACAGCAAATAATTTCTTCCTTGTGTCTAACCTAAATCTCTTCTGTTTCAGTTTGAAACCCTTCCCCCTCATCCCATCACTCCCTGCCCTTGTCAAAAGTCCCTCCCTAGCTTTCCTGGAGCCCCTTCAGGCACTGGAAGGTGCTCTAAGGTCTCCCTGGAGCCTTCTCTTCTCCAGGCTGAACAGCCCAAACTGTCTCAGGGTGCTCCAGCCCTCAGATCATCTCTGTGGCCTCCCCAGACTCACTCCAACAGCTCCTTGTGTTGGGGACCCCAGAACTAGACCCAGCACTGCAGGGGGAAGTCTCATGAGAGTGGAGTAGAGCGGGAGAGTCACCTCCCTTGATCTGCTGGTCATGCTGCTGGTGATGCAGCCCAGGATACTGCTCTTGATGTATGCCGTATCTTCTTAATTCTATGAAGATTACCTTTCCTAACCTGATACCTGGCTGCTTGGACAATTTCTCTGTACTCCTTGCAGGCTGCCTGTCCTTGCTTCCACACTCTGTAGTCTTTGTTTTTTACATCTGTGTCCAGGAGGTCCTTGTTCATCTATGCAGGTCTCCTGGCATTCTTGCCTGCCATCCTCTTGGTTGGAAGCAGTGCTCCTGAGCTTGGAGGAGGTGATCCTTGAATATTGTCCAGTTTTCTTGGGCTTCTCTCCCTTCCAGGGCTTTATCCCATGGTACTCTACCAAGCAGATCCCTGGAGAGCCCAAAGTCTGTTCTCCTGAAGTCCAGGGTAGTGAGCTTGGTGTGTAGCCCCCTCCCTGCCCTAAGGATCTTGAATTCCACCATTTTATGGGCACTGCAGTCAAGGCTGCCCTTCAGCTTCATGTTCCCCACCAGCCTCTCCTTGTTGGTGAGAGCAAGGTCCAGCATAGCACCTCTCCTTGTTGGCTCGTATCTCCCTTGGAGAAGCAAGTTACCATCAACACATTCCAGGAGCCTGCCAGATTGCTTATGGTCTGCTGTGTTTTAACTCCAACAGATATCAAGGTGGTTGAAGTCTGCCAGGGCTTGTTAACATGAGACTACTCCAGTCTGTCTATAAAGGTCCTCATCCTCATCCTTGGTCTTCCTGGTCAGGTGGCCTGTAGCAGAACCCCCCTATGATATCCCTTGTCCCTGCCCTCCCTTTAACCCTGACCCATAAGCTCTTTGTTGGCTCTTCATCCATCCCCAGACAGAGCTCCATGGACTCCAGCTGGTCCCTGATGTAGAAGGTGACACCCCTCCTCTTCTCCCCTTCCTATATCCTTCCATTCTAACATTCCAGTCACAGGAGCTGTGCCACCATGATGCCAACAAGATTGCAGCCCTGCAGGCACGTTTATGTCTTCAACTCCTCTTGTTTACTCCCCATGGTACATGTGTTTGCATAGAGGCACTTAGGTCGGGCCCCCAGTGAAGCTGCCTTACTGGGTGGAGTGACTGGAATTCCTTTCAATCCATCGTATTTATGATGTCTCTATTTCTTTTGCATAGTCTAGCATGCAAATGGCTCTAGTGGGCTTCAGTTATCCAGAAAGGGTAGAGATCTGCATCAGTGTTACCTCTGATGCTTAGTGCTCTTCTGACAGGTTGCTGGAAGAGCTAAATTCCTTGAAATAATTTTTGTGCTTCTATTTCCGTGTTCAATTGGCTTGTTTCGTTTTAGTTTTTTTCTTTAACACTTGTAAGCTGCTGCTTAGAGTCTTGCTTCTGATAGAGTGTCTTTGTTTTATCTCCAGCTTTGGTGGCTTGGGGTGTGTGCCGGGAACTAATACGTACACTTCTGTAGAATAAGATACTCCAAGTCTTCGTGGAATTTGAAGGCTTGAGGAACTGTGGTGATGTGTTGCATCCTGGGAGGAAGTCTGAGTAGTTCAGTACTGGCTTCTGCACTACTTGGAAAGCAGTCCTGTGGTTTTTGTTCTCTGAAACCCTATCTGGAGCCTCCTTCCTTTGCAAGAGGCTTTTCTTGAACCATTGGCCAGTGTGAAAGTCCATCCTCAGTCATTCCTTGACTTGTTGCTTTTTGGTTTGGTTTGTTTTTTTAAAATATGGTTGTGTGTGTAGCATGCAGAGGCCTTACTGGCCTCCACATGTAGGGTTCAGTTTACTTTTGCAATATCTATTTTTGGTTTTACACAAGAAATGTCAGTGCCACATAGTACGAGATGATGAATTGCTGTGTACTGTACATATCCGTGAGGCTGGGATATCATCTGAGTGGTGGCATCCTGCCAAATACATTTTGATTCTGTTACTTCATACTCTTTTGAAAGGTCTGTTACGTAGCCTGAGACAGCTACCACTGTGCTGGACTTCTGCTTAAGCTATTTGTGAACTGATATCATCATATTGCTTTGATAACTATGCTGAAAGTTTAAGCTTCAGAATTCTGTCTGAATATTTCAGACCTTTCCCTTTACATTCTTTTAACCCATAACCTGAACAAGATCCTTATTTACAGAAGAAAAATGTCTGGCACTTCTGGTAGGCACAGTGAAGAGAACACTGCAGTTTTCATGCCATACCAAAATAGATAGTAAACTTTGGTTTGATA